CATCATTGTAGACCTGTTCTGGTGTCATGGTCATGCAAAAAAGTGCCAACCCAAAAGTGAGCTGGGGGTGCTTCTGGAGTGTGGGGCAGAGGAGAAGTTTCGAGTTACTACAAGTGGGGAAACAGCAGAAGAGAAATAAACATGAGACACGTTCACCTAAAGCTAACTGCTATCCACTGTCTGTAGTGAAAATGGTGAAATGGTGTTAACAGAAAAATAACTCACCAAGGAATTAAACTAATAACGACAACTGAATAAAAAAAGGATTTAGAAAATACTTTTTTTTTTTTAATTTTAATTAAGTCTATGGAGCAAGGTCCAGATTTTGCCCACACATAGGCATGGGCTAAATATTAAGTATATGAATAATTATTCCAGAGTCACCACCACTGCCGATCAAGCCTCTGTCCAGATGAAAGTTAACAGAGAAATTGCTCCCTGAGCCAGCACAGAACCAAAGCAAGCAACAAGAGCTGGGGCTGCTTCACAGACAGAAAAGCAGCAGCACTGCAAGCCCCTGTGTTCGAGCCAAACTGAGCCTGTGAAGTGAGGACATGGCTAACACACACTGCAGCTGACCTTCCTGCGACCTGCGCTGAAACCTGGCAGCCCCTCTTCCCCACAGGGCTCCCTCCCTTTACCGCTCAGGCAGGTGCTGCAGCCTGAGGCTGAAAACTGGTGAAAATGGCGATGGGAGTCCAAAATGGGCAACATTTGCAAAATGAATTTTCCTCTGGATGTGAATTCAAAGGTGCGCAAATCCAGCACCACTCCGCAATGCAGTTTTGGGGCAGTGCCCCAGTGATCACTGCGGGGTCTACGTTAGTCATCATTTAAATTAAGACTCTGCAATAAGGGGATAATAGTTATCCTACCTGAAAAGAGAAGGCAGTTAAGCCATTGAACCCAGAGGTGTAATCCGTTGACCAGTGACTTGGCAGAGCCCATGGGGCACGAAGGGGTGCTGGTTCTCTCACAGCTGTGCTGTGATCCTTCACCAGTGCCTGTCAGGTTTTAGCCAATTATTTTCTAAAGTGAATAACAGAACCCTTGAAGAATAAGGTTCTTAAAAGTATCTTAGGTCATCAGTAAGGTTGCTTCTGTAGTACTGATGGTGGTGGTGCAGTCGAGGGCAGTCAGTCCTCTGCCCATTGCCACGGATGAACCGTGTGAAGTCAGGGCTGTGCCCAGAAGGGGTTTTAGAACATTCTCCATAAAGGTGAAAAATGCGTATTAAATATGAATCGAGATAACGATGCCATGAGGCTCACGAGGGGAATCATGTGCCAGTTCATCACACCTAAACGGCACTAGACATTTCTCCATCACCTGGTACCATGTGAGATGGGGCACCTCGCCTTCCCTGTGCCATCTCTAGGGGTCTTGTGCATAGGACCATAACCCTGAACACTGTGGGGAGAGAAGGGGGGGGGGGGCGGGAAGTGAGACTAAATAGCACCTGTAGAAGACCACTGGTCAGAGTTTCACTCTCCTGCGCACCCGGGTGTGCGCCGCTTCAGACTGCCCTTTTCTGGCGCTGACGCTGGGCTACCCGGGGCCTGTGGCTCCTCCAGCACAGAGCCAGGAGCGAGCCGGGGAGCAAAGCACGTCGAGGGAAGGGGAGGAAACCACGGAGAAACATGAGAGGACAAGTAGAGGAAATGCAGAGTTTCTATACCTGCCTACAGCTTCTTTCTCCCCTTTTCCCTCTCCCTCCCCCCTATAAATAGTAATAAAGCACCGGAGGATTTTGTCCATGTTACCGTTTTCTTCTCCATCGCAAAAAGAGTGAAAAAAAAACACCAAACCTAACAGCTCGTGTGAGAGCCCGGCTCTGGGCTGCAGCTCCACCCAGGGGCACGGCTCGCAGGAAGCGAGAACCCAGGGGTGGGCTCCCTGTCTTCAGCAGGTTCAGCGGGGGATTTGGGGTGTGCACGGCCTGCTCCGGCCTTCGGGCTGCCCCTTGCTCGGTGGTGACAATCCCGTCGTCGCAGCAGCGAGGGGAGCTCGTCTCCAACCAAAGCAGCCACCGCTGCCTGCAAGGTTTAAACGGGCTCGCACCGAGTTGTGAACAGACCCCACAAGATTTCTGCCGCTGTGGCTGAAGCAGGTCTTAGCCCTGAAATCAAACATCTTTCCCCGGGCGTGAGAGCCAGCTGCCGTTTAGCAGCCATGTGTCCTCGCAAGGATGGTTTCTGAGGGGAAGACGGGGCTCTGTGTAACGAGAAAAAGAGAAGCAAGGGAAACCGATAAAAACTCAGAACAACAGGGCCCCGGGGCCGCCGGAGCGTGGGGCAGACCCCGGCCGGGGGTGCGCTTCTGCGGGAGCCGTCGAGTGGCAGCCCCGGGGAGTTCCGCGTAGCACTGCCGGGTGCCCCGCTGCGCGGCACGGCGGAGCGGCGCGGAGAGCCGCAGGTCTGCCTTTGCTCTTGGCGGCGGAACTAAGCGGGCGGCCCCCCGATCCGGTGCCAGCTCGGAGGGGAGGCGGCGAGGGGCAGCTCGGGCAGGGCCGCTGGGTCCCCGCGCCCACTCCTGCGGTGGAAAGCGGCCGTTTGCGGAGAGGGCAGCCGGGTCGGGTGGCCGATACCCGCCGGTCCCCGGCAGGGGCGGCAGCGCCGTTACCGGCGCTCCCGGGATTCACCGGCCACCCGCGCCCCGGCGAGGCCGGAGCGGAGCCCGGCGCGGGTGGGTGCGAAGGGCTGCGGCGGCCGGTCCCCGAGGAGAAACACATCGCGGAGGCCCCGGGTGCGCGGAGCCAGAGCCGATATTGTTAACGGCAGCGGCCTCCGAGGGTGTTGATCTGAGCTGGCTGGAGTGGCAGACGCAAATATTTCCGTTTGCGCCCTTCTGCCTCTCCCAGTATCGGCTGTCAGTCCCCGGGCTTGTTATTCGTACGGGGCATCGGTTTGTTTGGCTGAGCTCAGCAAGGTTTTCTTCTCGGAGCAGAACTATAATTGCTGTAATTCTACTGTATCATTTGGATCATTGCAGTATTGTTTTCTCTCCCTCGTTCTCTCCCCCTAACACTGCAATAACGCGCTCCAGTGTTAAATTAGCAGGTTGCAGGGGGAAGGAAAAAATAAACCAAGAAAGTGACTTGGCAGAGGGAGGCGAGGTCTCATCGCCGCCGCTCCCCACCTCCCTCTCCCCGGAGCGGCCGGGACCGCTCTCTCCGCGCCAGGGCCGCAGGGAAAGCGGAGACCCCGGAGCGACCCGTGCACGGATGGCCCAGGCAACGGGGCAAGGAGGGCTAAAGGCAAGGCGCGGAAGGCGGGAAGGCCGCGCAGGACTCCCCGCGTCCCTTGCGGTTCTTGCACCAGTGCGCCGCAGTCCCGGCTAGCACCGCCCGCGGCACCGGCAGGGCCCGGCGCTGAGGAGCTATCGCAGCTGCCGCGCCGGGGGTCCCCTGTCCCATTCGGCTACTCCCCCGTCCCGGCCGGGCGGCGCGGGAGTCCGGCCCAGCCCCGCTCTCCGAAGCGCTGTGACCGGTGCTCACCGGCAGCGGCCCGGCCGGCACCCGACCAGGCGGAGGAGAGGCGGGCGCGGGCCGGGTTCCCCTCCCGCCGCAGCGCCGCTTAACTCGGGCAAAACCCGGAGGGGATGCCCCAGCGGAGCCCCCCGGCACAGCAGGAAGCAGGTTCCAAGGGAACCTTTGGGTCTTCTCCTTGGCTTTTTGTTGGGCTGGGGTGAGGGTATTTTTTAGTTACTGTTAATGAATTGCCACTCCTCCTGGGGATGGCAAAAGCTCCCGAGAGCTCAGCAGTTACGGTAAAGCGCAGCCTGGCACCCCCCGCAAAGCCGGGCCACACTCTGTTCACCCCGCCGGAGAGTGCAAGGCCCGCTGGCGGCACGTCGGGGCGTCCCCCGCAGGCATCTCCGCTGTCTCCGGGGGCAGGGCGAGAGGAACGGCGGGCAGGAGCCTCGCGGGCCCACTGGCGGGGAGGGGAAGGCACGGGAGTAACGCGTGTCCCCGCGTAGCGCTGACGGACCCACACCTATAGAAGCTGGGAGCGTGTGGGAGTGAGTAAGGGCACAACCAGAGCGGCATTGTGCCCACACCCGCACGGACACACGCAGGCGTTTGCCCATCCTTTCTTTTAATTCCCGCTGGTCAAGTAATGAGACACGGGATTAGTACCGGAATTAATTGCAGCACGAAGAGAGTACGGGATTAGCACGGGCTGCCTTCCCGCCGGGGCTCTTGGCTGGGAATCACCCAAGCGAGTGGATGGGCTATTTGGGCTGTCCGGTTCCTCTGCCCTGCCAGTGCTGGCAGGAGCCCGGGACCAGGCGCGCACACGTAAGCGGGGGACAGTCCCAGCTTGCCAGTCCCAACAGAGCCCAAAATGCCCAGAAGTGGAGACCGAACCTGCTTGAACCGTTTAAAGGGGAAGGAATAATAGGGGGGAAGAGGGCAAAAAAAATCCTGGGAGGGGGTTTCCACCCCGAAACGACGTCGAAAGCCCCGCGGAGGGGGAGATGTGCGTGCGGAGAAAGGCAACGGCGGTCGGGACAAGCCGCGTGGTGCGGACCAGCACTGTGCCTAGCTGCGCGCCCAGCCCTACCCGAGGACTTTCCGCCAGCTCCGGCCGCGGCCTCGCCCCGGAGAAGCCGCCCAGAGCTGGTTAAAGTCCCAGCAGCGGTCCCCACTGTTTTTAAGCACCGGCTGCTAGCGCTGCCACTGCGTGCTCTTGCCCGGCGCAGCAATCCGCCAGGCTCCCGGGGGGAAAACCCGGAGTGGATTCCACGGCGGGGCCCACCCCGTCTTGCTAGGGCATCGACCGGGAGGCAGGCCGGGCAGGGCGGAGAGCGGGGCCGCCGTTGGGGAGGAGGATACAGAGCAAGGCGACCCGGGGACTCTGCCGCCTCCCATCCTGGTCATCCCCGACGGCTCCCGCCACCACGGAGAGGGGCGGGGCTGGGTGAAGCGCGGCGGGCGGGGTCGGGCGGGAGGGGTCGGCGGTGGGGGGCAGCCCGGCGGCTCGGGGCGGGCGCCGATCCGGAGTGATCCGATCCGGGGTTTGCTGGGCACCGTCTGTCGGCGGCCGCCCGGCCTCCGGCGAGAGCCAATCAGGGTGCGGCTGGCCGCACGTGGAGCTGAGGGGACTCAAGAGCGCCGCGGCCGCGGCTCACTCCCCCCGTGACGGGCGTCCCGGCGGTACAGGGCAGCGCTGGGGGCCTCCGCGCCGCCGCAGCCCGCTCGGCCCTCGGCACGGCCCCGCCACCGCCATGAGTGGGCCGTACCCGGAGGAGAGCTGCCCCGAGCGCCCCGAGTGCAAAAGTAAATCGCCAACTTTGCTGTCCTCCTACTGCATCGACAGCATCCTGGGCCGGCGGAGCCCTTGCAAGGTGCGGCTGCTCGGCGCCGCGCCCAGCCTGCCCGCCATCGCCGCCCGGCCTGAAGCCGATAAGGCCGCGCAAGGTAAGACCCGACGACGACGCTCTGTCCTGCTCGCTCCGCTCTTTCTCCCCGGCGTCGGGCAGGGCTGGCTGTCACCTTCACCCCCCGCCCCACTCTCCAAATCCCTGGCAGCCCCGTCTGGCTCCCTGCCCGGCTGGGACCGTAGCCGTTGTTATCTTTACTGTGCTCGTTTGCGGCTGCCTCGCTGCCCGGGAGAGCGGCCAGAGCCGTGCCCGAAATCCATCTCGGTTAATCCCGCGCAGGTCGGGTACCGCCGCTTTAGGCTGCTCTTGCTTTCGATGTAACTGTAATAAAGGGTGCGAGCTGTGATACTCGCAGGGAAGGGCTCGCCGCTTCGCCTTAAGCCTGTAACGGATCCTGGCCAGTGGGCAGGGGGGGAATAACGGGGCTCTGGCAGCCGCCGCCCCCGGCCCGCAGCTGGGAGCAGCCACTCTGGGGTGGTGGGGAACAGGCGGAGCGCTACCACGGATGGCCTCTCTCCCTCCGCTTTCCCTGTGTCCCCAGCTTTCCCATCAGGGAGGGTTCCTTTCCTTCAAAACCAAAAGGGAACTTAGGGGCGGGGGAGGCGGTAGGAGGGGGAACAAAAGGTAGAAAAAAGAGAGAAAAAATATCCCCTACAACCAAACCAAAACCAACCGGAGAAGCCCCAGGCCAGCGGGGACGGCGCTGCCCCGCCTAGTGGGAACGGGGTCCGGCGGTCGCTGCTACTGGGGAGGTGGCGGCGCAGGCCCCGGTCCGCCTGAGCCTTCGCCGCCTGTTCCAGTGCCGAATGGGCGCTGGCCGGGCCTTGTACCAAGGGGTGTTCCCAGGCCGGGAGCAGCGGCACGGGCGAGAGCCGGTCTGAGGGTGCGGGATATGTGTGGAAGTCTTAGCTCGGTGCGGGGCGGAAAGCGATGCCCGGTGGCTGCGGGGCTGTAGTCCTGGGCTCTTCGCGCTGATCCCACTGACCGTCTCTTTCTCTCCCCCTCTTCTTTCCCTCTGTACCCTTCTCCCCCACGCCTACCCGCCCCGTCCGACTGCTGCGGCCGCTTATCCCCTTCCCACCTCATTCCCGGCTCAGGGTCCCCCCAGGGCAGCCCCCTTTCGAGCCGGCTGAGCTGCACCTTCCTCCCAAACTGCGTCGGCTCTACGGGCCAGGCGGGGGCCGGCTGCTGCCGCCGAGGGCGGCGGGGCCGCGAGGGGACCGTCCGGAGGGGCGGCCGGAGGGGGGCGCCGGCCCCGTGCCCGCCGCCGCCCCGTGGGACACGCTGAAGATCAGCCAGGCACCCCAGGTCAGCATCAGCCGCAGCAAAAGCTACCGAGAAAACGCTCCCTTCGTGTCGCCGCCGCTTGTCCGGGACGAGCTGGGCAGCCCCACCACGCACGTCGAGGAGCGGCCGGGCCCTGCCGCCCCGACCGCCGAGGAGGAAGAAGAGGAGGAAGAGGATGAAGAGATGCTAGAGGAGGAGGACGAGGAAGAAGAGCTGGAGGACGACGAGGAAGAGGAGCTACTAGGAGAGGACGGCGGGGGGCTGCTGAAGGAGGCCCGCCGGGGCACCGCCGCTGCCCCCGGAGCGGAGGGCGGGGATCTGTCCCCCAAGGAGGAGCTGCTGCTGCACCCCGAGGACGGCGAGGGCAAGGACGGCGAGGAGAGCGTCTGCCTCTCGGCTGGCAGCGACTCCGAGGAGGGGCTGCTCAAGAGAAAGCAGCGTCGTTACCGTACCACCTTCACCAGCTACCAGCTGGAGGAGCTGGAGAGGGCCTTCCAGAAAACCCATTACCCCGACGTCTTCACCAGGTACCGGCACCGAGATAGCGGGCGAGCCCCGGGGGGACGGGTCGGGTCAGCGGTATACTGCACCGCCGCCTGCATACTGGCCCCGGCATGAATTCTGCTTTGGACACCCCCGGGCTGGGAGGGGACGGGGAGCAGGGCCGGGCTGCGGGGGGGGGGGGGGGCAGGATCTGCAGCGCCCGGGCAGGCCGCCGCCGTGGGCTATTTTTACCCGCTCCCCTGCTCCGTTGTCGCCGGCGGGATCGGTTACTCGCTCTCTGAGGGGCTGGAGCAAGGCCCGGCCTGGGGAAGCCCCGGCAGGGGCCGAGATCAAAGTGCCGCTGCCTAAAAATACCGGCCCGGCACGTGGGGCCCCTCACTGCCCGGAGCCGCCTCGGGGCGCGGTGGAGCACGGCCCGGCTCTTTCGGGGACCTTCTGGGGACATTTTCCCGTTTAAAACGGGAGCCCCGCGGCGGCGGATCTAGCTGGCAGCTCCTCAGCAGGAAACGCAGGCAGGGGAGGGGGGCAGAGCACGCTGCCCGCAAATACACACATACACCCCCCCTCCTCGCCTTTAGCCTAGAGGAGGGCAGAGCCCCCAGACCTGCATTTTTCGATCAAATACACCCTCTGGTTTCTCTTTGCTGGCGGGTGTCCGCGGGAACGTTTTGTCTCCCTGCGTTCGGTACTGCATGTAGTCCACGGGTCCCACCTCGGAGTCCCGGCCCCGGGAGAGGCTCTCTGGTGGGGAAACTGAACATACCGCGCTTCTTTTTGTGTTTTGTTGGTTTTGGTTTGGGGTGGGCTTTCTTTGGGGGAGGAGAGGGATTTTTTGTGTGTTTTTACATCTTCGGCTTTTCCGCCGGGGCAGCAGGGTCCAGGTTACGCCGGGACCGCTGCTCTGCTGGGCACGGCGCTGACGAGCGGGTTTTGTAACGCCTTAATGGTTTCCAATCCGCCTTAACGGCGGCACTGCACCGCAGTGCGGGGCGGCTCGGGGGCCGCCCCCCCCCCACCCCGCCGCCTCTGCTGCTGCGGCGGGGACAGGCTGAATTTGGGGAGCGGCGGGGGGAAGGCTGTGGCCAAAACGTGGGAGTCCTGACGGGCGCCCAGTCTGGCGTCACAGAACCTGGCCGAAAATCCGCGGGTGGGCACCGCCTGCAGTCACTTTCGGCCCGGCTTCCACCGGGATACCCGGGCCTGTCCGGTGCGCGGAGCCGCGGGCCGGGAGCATCTCGGGGTGCACCGGGCTGACGGCGCCGTATGTGTCTTCCTCCAGGGAAGAGCTGGCCATGAGGCTCGATTTGACCGAAGCCCGAGTGCAGGTGAGTAGTGGTGACGGCGGGACCGGGACCGGGTGTCCCTCGGCGGCACCCGAGGACGGGGTGGCCTCGGGCCTCCCCGACGGGCAGAGCCACCGGCTGGCGAAACCCGGTGCGGTTAAAACACGGGTACCCCGCGGATTTTGGGTTGTTGGAGACCCGCTCGGCCACAAGCCGGGTATTTGGCTGCCATCAAATCTCCAATCGGGTTTCATAAAAGCCCACTTAGTGCTAGAACAAACAGGGCCATTTGAAGGCGAAATGTTGTTTGATTTCCTCTCCGCCCGCCCAAGGAGCTGGCTAATGCTATTTGATTTCCCATTTTTGATAGCAATAAGCCTGCATTGATCTAATAGCGAGTGAGTGCAATGCTATTAAAGGTGTTTGCCGCCCCATACCAGAGTGCATTTCCCAACCCGGGTCTCATAACCAAAGAGACGATAAACACTGGGATGCCCTGATTGCCAACAGAAAACAGATGTCTCTGGGTTTGAAGCTGAGCAAATCACTTTACAGTTAAAATCGGGCGCTGATAAAGCATAATAAATTCCATATGGCTCATTTAATACACAACAGCTTCTTGCATTAGAGGGGCTAATGATGAGATTTGTCCCCTCCTTTTTGTTGACACATTTCTCCATTGTCAAACAGAGATGTGACAGCAAATCACTATTTTCAGCTCAGGGGAACGAGTCGTGGGAAAGTTAAATAACTTTAAAAAACGAAAGACACCCCCTTTCTCTCCCTCTATTCACAGCAGAAGAGGTAATTAAGGGAATATGAATTATGAGAGTCCCTTCGTTTACCTCAGGCTTATTAATTCGAGGAGGGGGAATTGCGGTGAGGACAGCTTCTTAATTGAGTTTTAGCTGGGAAAGACGCTTCCATCCGTGCCACGCTACCGCCTGGCGCGACGCCGTGTCCCGCGTGGGAAGCGGTGCTTGCAGTCCGGCCGTGCGGGAGCCCCGCCGCGCCGCCTGTTTCCCTTCCCTCGGGAGAGCCGGGGCCTCACGGTGGGCTCGCAGCGCGATCTCGGCCCCCACCACCCGAAACAACTGAGACATGCGTGTGTCTAGCCAGGTCCCGCCCCGCAGTGGGGAGCGATGCCTCCCGCTTGTTACTGAGCGGATCTTTCCCGTGCCTTTGAGAAACGGTGGTTTTTTTTTCCTCTACCTCTCTCCTGTGTTAAGCCCGTGTTAGGGCACGATTTCTGCTGTGCGGGAGGGGGGCAAGAAGCTGGGGTCAGCAGTGCCGCGGCTTCCTGAGCAACTTCGGGAAAATAGAGCCTAATGGGCCGCGAGGAAACGTGCACTTGGTGCTTTTGTGGCCTCGCAAATTATTTCTTCGTTTCAGACATTACTGAAATCACGATTATTTTTTTTCCCCTCGCTCTAAATACAAAAGGCAAAAATAAAACCCAAAACGAAGTCCACGCTCCCCAAACGAAATCATTTGTAAATGATTTCCCTCCAGCAAACAGGCACGCAGCTCCCGGGCTGGCTTCGTGCGTGGAATGCAAACACTCGCGTTTCGCCTGGATAAGGGTGGTTTTACCGCTGTCCCAGGGCGGCGGGAGCGGGACCGCGGTCTGCTCCCCCCGCACTGCCTGCCGCGCTGACCCCCGCAGCGGCGGCGAGGCTGACAACGCTCTGGGGGACCACACCGGAACCCGCGCGGGGCTGCCCGCAGCGCTGTCACGCGTGGGTCTCGTTAGAGGTAGCGGCGGAAGAGCGAGCGCCTTTGGGCCGGAGCGGGGCTGCCTCGGGCTCGCCCAGGCACGATGTCGGGCAGGCGCATTAAAACCGGTTTTTCTTTTGGCTTTCAGGTATGGTTCCAGAACCGTAGGGCTAAGTGGCGGAAGAGGGAAAAGGCTGGGGCTCAGACACACCCCCCAGGTTTGCCTTTCCCTGGTCCCCTGTCAGCAACTCACCCCCTCAGTCCATACCTTGATGCTAGTCCTTTCCCTCCTCATCACCCAGCTCTAGACTCCGCCTGGACCGCCGCAGCCGCCGCGGCCGCCGCCTTCCCCAGCCTGCCGCCACCGCCCCCCGGCTCCGCGGCGCTGCCCCCCGGCGGGACCCCGCTCGGCCTCGGCACCTTCCTGGGCGCGGCCGTGTTCCGCCACCCGGCCTTCATCAGCCCCGCTTTCGGCAGGTACCGGACACCGCGCGGGGACTCGGGCCAGGCCGCGGTCTCCCGCGCAGTTCCCGCGCGTCGCGTGGGGACCGGTCTCGCGCGGGCGTCCCCGCCATTCGAAATTGGAGCGCTGGCGGCAGCCGCCGATTGGGTGCCGCGAGGGTCACGTGCTTCCGCCCCCGGCATCTCATTGGGCGACTGGGGGGATTTGCGTGCCCCTTTCCCTCGCCGCCGTGGGTGCCCGGTCAGCGGGCACCGCTCCGGGGGCAAGGAGGGAGCAGGGCCCGGTGTCCCCCGCTCAAGGCGGTAGGCGCGGGCTGTCCCGGCTTTGCGCATCGGGAGCCCGGCAGGTTTTTGTCCGTGGGTAAGAGCGGGTTTGAGTGGCCCCGCCAGGATGAGACCGAGCCGCGCTGGTGTCCAACAGAGCCGGGGGCGTCCCGTCGGGACAGAAGGAGAGGGGTGACGCCCTGCTGATGGACGGGGCGCGCGTGCTCTTCATGAGGCCGGGTGTTCTCCCTTATTTTTAGCGCCATCCAGGCAGCAGCCGCCCTGAGCCTCTGCCCCCTCGAAAAACACCCTTTTGCCTTCAGCGTCGGGTTTTTGGAGCTGGGCCGTGAGTCTAGCGCTGCCGGGCAGAAGCATAAGGCCAAGGCTCGGCAGTAACGGCCGTCTCTGCTTCCCTTGCAGGCTCTTTTCCACCATGGCTCCCTTGGGCAGCGCCTCTAGCGCTGCCACCCTCCTGCGGCAGCCAGCGCCGACCCCCGAGGGCGCGGTGGGCTCAGCGGGGCTGGGGGACCCGGCCAGCGCCGCCGCAGACCGGCGGGCCTCCAGCATCGCCGCCCTGCGGCTGAAGGCCAAGGAGCACGCCGCTCAACTCACCCAGCTCAACATCCTCCCCGGGAACAGCACCGGGAAAGAGGTGTGCTAAGGCCCGGCTGCGTCCCGGGGCGCGGCTGGGCTGCGCGGGAGAGGGAAGAGAGAGAGGGAGAAGGGAGAGTAAATACACGGATAAAGAAAGGTGGACACCTCAGACAGCACGAATCAAGACCAAACGGGGGGGGGGGGGGGGGGGGGGTGAGGGGGGGGGGAATAAAAGTAATCTGGGGGGGGGGGGGGAGGGGGGACCAAATACATGAGGACCGGCAGCTGAGTCTGCGGTGGGTTCTCGAGGTGGGAACGCGGAGACAGCGAGCGCCTCTCGCATCAGCCCTCACACGAGTGAGCCGACGCTTGGCGGCTCCTCGGAAAGTAACGCCTTGGCTGGTACATTTCCTAAATGTACGGCGTGTTCAGTTCCTCTCCGAGCAGTCAGACGAGAAAAAAAGAGGAAAAAAAACCCAATAAACGTTATTCCATGTTAGCGTCACCGACACGAAACAGTTTTCCTTCTGTTTATCTGGCAAGAAAAAAAATACTGAAAGGAAAAAAATTGTAATTAAGAAAGGGGGAAAAAAAGGCAAAAAGCAAAGCAAAGGGAGGGGGGAATGGTGCCCAAATCTTCTTAAAACCGCATCTGGGACGATGTGAGGTTGGTCTGGCAGGAGCACTGGAGAACTTGTTACGTGTGGCTGCGGCGAGCTGCGTGCGCTCCCCGCCGGGGCTGAGAGTCCGTCTGGTGCTGCGGGATGAACCAGTGCACTTAAGGGGAAGGGTCCGTCTTTTTTTCTCGTTATATTCTTTATCACTACACCAACCAAGGGTTTTGTATCAAACCAAAGGGAAATACTCTGCTAGAATATGGACTGTTGAAGTCACTAAACTGTGATCGATTCTGTACATACCGTTGTTATAAAAAAAGAAAAAAAGAACAGAGCTTTGTATATTTGAAATGTTATAAAACGATTGCACTCAGTGTAGTGTTGTAAAAGTTTGTCATTCTGTAGATCTTTACTGTGTTGTAGATATCCTATAGGGCTCCTAGAAAAATATTTATGTACAAACCCTTTAACTTATTAACTGTAGAGGTTTCTGAAACCCTCAAGAGGCGATGGTACAGTACCTTTTTCCGTGTAATGTCGTTATTGTTAACACTTTTCCTTGCTACCCGGTGGAGAAGTGCCACGTTCGAAAAATAAACAAAAATATATGTTTGACAAAAAAAAAAAGAAAGAAAGAAAAACAAAGAAGGAACCACAGCCCGAGAGGGGAGCCCGCTCCCTGCGGGGCCGCCAGGGGCTAAATCCCACCGGAGCGGCCGGGGGTTACCAATCGCCCCCCCCCCCCCTTACTGCCGCCGGGACCCCGCGGCGTTCGGGGTGCGCGAGTGGCCCGTGGACCGGGGGGGATTGCCAGAGCTGGGGGCCGCGGGGAGCCGGCGCTCCCGCTGGGGAGGGGATTCCCCGCTCGCGGGGCCCGGGGCTCCCAAAGCGGTAGCTGCCCGTGCTCCGCCGTGCGGGACAGGGTCCGCCGCTCGGGTCAAAGACCCCGCGCAGCTGGAAGCTGTCCCACGCACCCCCCAGGCAGGGATGGGGCATCCCGCGGTCCTACCGCTGCCGAGAGCCGGGAGGGGAAATGGAACACCAGGGATCTGGGGGAGCGCTTGGCTTGGCTCCCTCTCCCCTCCTGGGGGGCAGGAAAGTTTCTCCGCGCCTGTTCCTTGTGTCTGCCCGCCCCGTTCTCCCCGAGATGAATTTCGTTTTTCTCCCCACTTTCCGTTATCCCGTTTCTTTCTTTTTTTTTTCTTTTTTTTTTCCTTTATTTTCCTTTTCTGGGGGTGTGTGTGCATTTCTCTCCCCTGCCTTTTCCACGGAGCAGGAGCAGAAACGCATGAAACCCGGCGGAAGGCAGCGGCAAAACCCGCTCCCCTTCCCCGCGATGCCTCTATGGACCCCGGATTCCCCCCACCAAGCCCCGTTCCCCCATGGGCTGCGGGTGTGGGGCTGGGCCCCCGGGAGCGGAGGCTTGTCGGGAGATTTTGGTTTAACTGCGGCACCGCTCCACCACGGCAGTCGGGGGCCGGTACCGGGGAAGGGCCCGGCCCCATCCCTGCCACTTGAGCGCACCGAGTTGTCCAGGCCCGGCCTGGCCCGGTCCCTCCCGTCTCTCCGGGTCGCTCCGGGACCCGTTCGGCCGGGAAGCGCCGCCGGAGCCGGTACCTCCCGTTGGGAGCCCGGCCGACCCTCCGCCGCGGCGGCCCCATCACCCACGGCGGTTCACACCCCATGCCCCCCAGAGGTGTTTCTGAGTTGTAAAAAACACCCTAGGCTTGCGGAAAATCATACATAGATGGGGGCTCGTTCCTGGGCCCCGATGAAAGGCGCCGGCTGAAATATACATTTTTTCCTTAAAGAAAAGGGAATCATTATCAAGCCATTACGCATTAAGAAATGTCATTCAGTCATTTTTATTCTTTCCGCTGAAATCTTCGTAAAAGCCCGAATCATACTTCTGCAAAGCGGCAATTTTGTTAATCCAGGGGGTTATTACTCTGGTCCCTTATTAGGATCTCTACCGCTGCCAAGCAATCCTATAACCCTCTCAAAAGAAGTTTACCTCCGTGTTATAAACCCAGTCGTGGTATTTATACTGCACAATAATTAGTGTATTACCTGAAGGCGCTAACAGGTTCATTTTATCTCCGCGCAGCACACCCCCCCCCCCCCTCCCTCCCCCCCCGCCGCCTGCCCATAGAAAGCTTGTGCCTCCTCCGGCGCTGCTGGAGTGCCGAAGGGGGGCTGAAGGCAGGCTCGGAGCACTCTCCCCTTTTGCCGGGCCTTAATTCCCATCTCTTTCTGCTCTCATCCAATTAGTGCGGTGTATTAAGCGGTTTATCATCTCATAGTCAGCTATTGAGAGAAACAAGGCGAACACTTTGCAATAGAGCCTGCTCTCCTTTGACACCCTCAGGTACTTACATATTCCACTGTGCTATGAATAATAGAGGGAGAATAGAGCGCTAATTCCCTCATCAAAGAATGCCTTGTCTGCTGCTTTGCTCAACAACACCATTCGGATCAAAAGAAAAGCAATAAAGCTTAGCATAACAAAACGAAACCTACTTATTAGCTTAGTGGTTAAATTAATGCAGAGCCGCTGCTATTCAAACCCAAGGTTTGAAAACAGCCTCCAACCACCTGATAATGCCGCCTTCGGGATGGAGGAATTTTAATCAGAAATTTGAGGCTGGCGCAGATGAGTTAATCTATTAAACTGCTATAAGGGAGGCTGCGGGAGGACGGGTCCGGGAAGGGGCTCTGCAGAAGCCGGGGAAGGATGGAAAAGGGAAGACGAAGAAGTAAAGAAGAAGGTGATTATGGGCTCTACTCCGGCAGCAGCAAAAAGTCTGCTTTCTCTATTGCCTCTGACAGGGGAAAAGGGGGGGTTGGCCGAGCAACAGCCGTATTTGCGGGTGGGAATTGGTTTTCCTATCACATATGGCATCAGCGAGACCTGGCTACAGGCTCCATACATCAACACTCCTCTTCCCCAACTGCAAATAAATACAAATAAACACAAACCTTAATTTTAACAGCCTTGCGGGGAGGCAGGAACGAGGGACGGGAGGGCAGGGCAGGGAAGGCACATCAGCCTCAAGCCGCAGATCTGCAAACTCCGTTTCCCCCCCCCCCATCCCCAAATCATTTATAGCTCCCGCATTTACCAGCTCCGTTTAAATGCTGTAAAGATGATTTTGCGTTTCCCAGCCTTTCTCCGGGGCCAAGATGAGGCATCGTGCCCGGAGCTGATTAGGGGTGGGAGGAGGGAATCCACTTTCTTCCTTGCCAATACTCCAGCTCTGCTCTGACCAACTCTGCTGAGAGGAATCAAAAGTGGCCTTAATTTGGGGTACAAAGCTCCCCGGACTGCGACGCCCCCCCCCCCCCCCCCCTTGCCCCTCACCGTAGAACGCGGCTCCTCTGCGGCTGTGTGGGGGGAGCAGACCCTTGCAGGGCCACTATATACTGCTGCACCCTACACAATCATTCCACAACACTCTCATTTAATCTAAACATCCCTAAACTTGCAAATTAACAGGCTCTTCAGCTGTAATTATACAGATACATACAAGTGCCACAGGGTCAGGTTATGCCATATCTATCCATTTTATTTGTATACCTAAGGTTTGGAGGAGAAGGTCACACTTTCTGCTTTCCTAAGGCATTCTGCCCAGTTGATATCAGTAATATCTTCATAATCCTATTTGGCTTGGACATGGAGAATCTGAAAAAACCTGTGTGAAATCACAGGAAGCCAGAATCTTTCAAAGAGCTGCAACATCAACATGCCATCCAGGCAGCAACACCGTCTCCCCAGGACAAGCCTCCAAATAGAAGTCTCTTGTACAATAACCCAACTGAACATGTTGGGAAGGAGTGAAAGCCTGCCAGGGGTGTGGGCTAGCACCAACACAAAGCCAGGGACTGAGCAGGCTTGATTTCTCATGTAATATGACTCAGTGTGACTAAAAATGAACTAAGTAAGCCCCAAAAGTTGCTCAAAAGACAACTGTGTATTTAGGCATTACTTGTACTGACACACAGCATCTTCTGACGTAATTGTAGGGACAAATGAATGTCATAAAATACTTCAACACAGACACATGTATCCCTCTGGTGTGCAACACGTTTGTGCTGATGCTCTTCCTTTTTCTTCTTCAAGCTCCCTTTGCTAATGGCCGATCATCAATGGACACACAAGCGCTTCTGTAAAAGCAGGAAAAGTCTGGAGCAACCCGATACAACCTGGTGTGTTTTCAGCAGTCAGATGATCGAGACAGATTCTCTTTTACTAGAAAACTTTATTATTTTTAACTTCAAGTATTAAGAAAATTTTACATTTTATACTGTAGAAGATAAAAGAAAAAAGTTTTTATAACCTTACAAGAATATATCACACTGCAAACTTAACAGCGAGCACAAGTACAGCACGGACCCAAATTTATGCTCCTTTCTTGTCAGATCTGCTTGTCATTTTAGTAAAAGTGAAAAATACAATTTGTTTACAAAATCCTTAGAAACTCCAATACAGTAATTATTACAGAACAGCAACAATGATTCTCCCCTCTCCTTTCCCCTGTTACTGGTTACAATGCCATCACAAACACGTTTTTCCCTATG